TTCTGTGTTCATCCCATTTTAAGAATAGTTACAAAGTGACTAAGTGTGAAGACGCGCGTTGCGGGACGTGTACACATATAATGGAAGGATCAACTTATGACTTTAATGGAAGACAATTCACAGTCAATGCAAACATGTCTTGTGCCACTAAAAATGTAATATATGTAATAACGTGTGCTGGATGCCAAGAATTTTATATCGGGGAAACGGGGCGTGCCCGGATGCGTGTCCACCGACAACATATTAATTCTCCGGAATATCGGCAAATCCCTCCGAGTGAACATTTGGATACTTGTGGAAATAAACAATTCACTATATTTCCTTTTTACAAACTTTCAAGTGAAAGTGATATTCGGAGACGTGAGAAAGAAAAACATTTTATACATGTGTTCAAACCTTGACTGAACAATTGAGCATAATTATTGTAAAAATTGTACTTATTATTTTCATTCTACGGTTTTCCCGCAAAGTTTGAATATGACGTAACAATAAACGTTTGTATGTAATGTTCCGCTTATTATGACGTTATGACGTTATGTTGCTATGTTACGTATTATAAAGCTTCTGAAGATTTGAAATGAAATCGCTTAAGCTAAACTAAAGGTTTTCGTGTTTCTTTTTTAAAAAGATTTACCTGTAAACTACCGAGCACTGTGGATTTTTTTCTGTTTCAATATATATATATATATATATATATATATATATATATATATATATATATATATATATATATATATATATATATATATATATATATTATATAAATCCACACACGTATTGTTATAATAAAAAATCACAACACCGAAATAAACTCAACCGGTTTCATTTCCAATCTTCAGGAGTTTGACAATACAATGCTTAGTTACACAAAATCAACATTCATATTGTGACGTCATAAAGCGCCAATACTTAGTCGCGCTTTAGCAAAGTTCATTATGACGTCATGATAATATGTAAGTAAGTTATTACGGGAAATTAGATTTTTTATACAAATAGCACAGTTATATTATGCGGGTAAAAGTATATTTCTTAAATGAAATATAATTATGCTGCATTTAAAACAGGTTTATGTCTGTTTATAAAATGTTTTTCTTTAGTTTCACGTTCTTTTTCTGTAGTATCCCTTCGGAATTTATAGAAAGGAAAAACAGTAAAATTGGGGGTTTTATTTTTGGCACAGTTTCTGATGTGTTCGCTTACGGCGGTACACTGGTATCTTGGTTCCCTAATTTGTTGTCGGTGTACGGTCATTCTGTGTCTCAGGGTGTCTCCTGTCTGGCCGATATAATTTTCACCACAACCGGCGCAGGTTATTACATAAATAAGATTCGAGCTGGTGCATGACATTGATGTTTTAATGGTAAATTCGCTTCCAGTTTTAAATTGAAATTTGGATCCCTCTGTCAGGTATGGGCAAGTACTGCATCTGGGCTTGTTGCATCTATTGATGATTGCTGGTTCATTGTTGTTAGTAGAAAAGGATGCTTTTGTAAGGATGGATTTGAGAGACGGACTTTGTCGTTTACTCTTAATGATCTGTGAAGTTTCTAATATTTTCTTCATGTCTGGATCTTCCTCTAAAATGGGCAGATTGTTCCTAATAATGCTGAAAATTTCCGGATTTCTTGGGTTATGTGTTGACACGTATGGTATGACATTTTTTGCCTGTTTATTTTTCACTGTAAGTAGATCTTTTCTTTCTTGAGATTTGGCTTTGTTTATACCGTTTTCAATCAACTGTTTAGGAAAGTGCCTTTGAAGGAGTAGTTCTTGTAGTTCTGTGAGACGAGATTCCAAGATTTCTGAATCGGAAATTATTGTACAAAGACGTCTGGCTAAATTGTATGGGATATTATTCCTGGTGTGTCTAGGGTGACAAGAGTCAAATATTAGGTATTGTTTGGTATCTGTTATTTTGTAGAAAACATCCGTTATTAAACGGTTTTCTTTTTTAATAACCATTACATCGAGAAAGAATAACTTATTTCTATTCGATTCCATGGTGAATTTCAAAGTCGGGCTCAGGGTATTGAGAATATTAAAAAATTCCATTAGTTGATCCTCACTTTTGTCCCATATGACGAAACAGTCATCTAAGTAGCGTATCCACGACTTCCTTATAAAATTTTCAAAGTCCTCCCCGAATTTTTCTTTCACGGTTACAGTTTTTCTTCTAAGAATCCTAGGACAAGTGTAGCATAAGTTGGCGCAACTTTGGTTCCCATTGCCGTGCCTAATTTTTGTCTGTAGACTATGTCATTAAAATGCATGACAAAAGTGAGGATCAACTAATGGAATTTTTTAATATTCTCAATACCCTGAGCCCGACTTTGAAATTCACCATGGAATCGGATAGAAATAAGTTATCCTTTCTCGATGTAATGGTTATTAAAAAAGAAAACCGTTTAATAACGGATGTTTTCTACAAAATAACAGATACCAAACAATACCTAATATTTGACTCTTGTCACCCTAGACACACCAGGAATAATATCCCATACAATTTAGCCAGACGTCTTTGTACAATAATTTCCGATTCAGAAATCTTGGAATCTCGTCTCTCTTGGAATCTCGTCTCACAGAACTACAAGAACTACTCCTTCAAAGGCACTATCCTAAACAGTTGATTGAAAACGGTATAAACAAAGCCAAATCTCAAGAAAGAAAAGATCTACTTACAGTGAAAAATAAACAGGCAAAAAATGTCATACCATACGTGTCAACACATAACCCAAGAAATCCGGAAATTTTCAGCATTATTAGGAACAATCTGCCCATTTTAGAGGAAGATCCAGACATGAAGAAAATATTAGAAACTTCACAGATCATTAAGAGTAAACGACAAAGTCCGTCTCTCAAATCCATCCTTACAAAAGCATCCTTTTCTACTAACAACAATGAACCAGCAATCATCAATAGATGCAACAAGCCCAGATGCAGTACTTGCCCATACCTGACAGAGGGATCCAAATTTCAATTTAAAACTGGAAGCGAATTTACCATTAAAACATCAATGTCATGCACCAGCTCGAATCTTATTTATGTAATAACCTGCGCCGGTTGTGGTGAAAATTATATCGGCCAGACAGGAGACACCCTGAGATACAGAATGACCGTACACCGACAACAAATTAGGGAACCAAGATACCAGTGTACCGCCGTAAGCGAACACATCAGAAAATTTGCCAAAAATAAAACCCCCAATTTTACTGTTTTTCCTTTCTATAAATTCCGAAGGGATACTACAGAAAAAGAACGTGAAACTAAAGAAAAACATTTTATAAACAGACATAAACCTGTTTTAAATGCAGCATAATTATATTTCATTTAAGAAATATACTTTTACCCGCATAATATAACTGTGCTATTTGTATAAAAAATCTAATTTCCCGTAATAACTTACTTACGTATTATCATGACGTCATAATGAACTTTGCTAAAGCGCGACTAAGTATTGGCGCTTTATGACGTCACAATATGAATGTTGATTTTGTGTAACTAAGCATTATATTGTCAAACTCCTGAAGATTGGAAATGAAACCGGTTGAGTTTATTTCGGTGTTGTGATTTTTTATATATATATATATATATATATATATATATATATATATATATATATATATATATATATATATATAAATGAAATGTGTAATTGAGTTCTTAACGCTTACTTTCTTTAAGAATGATAAAATAGCAAACAGTTTTTCTCAATCACTAATTAGATCCATATCATTTATAATTAAGTACTACATGTACTCCCTTGGGCATAAATAAAAAAAAAATCAAAATACAACGTTAGTTACAGCGTAGGTTTACCCAAACTTCTGTAATGCTACTTATAAAAGAGATGCACAAGCATCGAGTCAAGAGTCAAGAAGTTTGAACACTATAAATTAATATGACCTATACTCTCTTCTCCACTATAACAGGAATGACAAGACTCTCAGTGTTTCTTACTTTTATACCAGTAGGACAGTCTATTAGACTGATTGATTGCATATTGTGTAACGTCGCTCTTAAGAATTTTTCACTAATATGAAGACGTCACCGTATGCCGGTGAAAGGCTTCAAATTTTGACCTTTACTAGGCACTCAGGACCATTGAGCATTAAGGAATCTTTATCGTTCCATCGCCTGACGCTTACACGGGGCCTCGGTTTTTAAGGTCTTATCCGAAGGACCCGCAACTATCACTTCAAAGTGCCGAGCGCATGGTGAAGGAACAGTTGCTACCCATTTTAACGACTAGGTCAGTCGAGGCCGAGATACGAACTCGCGACCTCCCGATCTCGGAGCGAGCGCTCTACCGACTGAGCTACCGTGAACGGTGACAGTCTATTAGAAATGGGTGTCATCTTATTCCATTATATTTACATTCCATGTTTTTTTCCTTATGAAAATCATTAGAAATCCACGACATTCAAATTTCTATAACACACGCGAAACCTTGTCACCGCGCCTTAGAATACACAGTAGGAACTACTAGTATATGCATTTTCTATAATCTGGGAACACCAAAATGTACAATGTTTGGACTCAATTTAATTAAAAACTATAATCCTGTTAAATTAACTTAAAATACTACAAATGTGCGTTTAAAATTATTTTGTCACTTTTTTTCTTTGCAATGTTTGTTTGCATTATATAACTTTGCAACGTCATCTGACGTCACAAACGGCTCTTACGTCTACTAACAGCGTCAGCCTTGAAAGGCGTTAAATTCACATTAAAGATTAACGAAATAAGCAATCATGAAGAAGGAAAATTAGAGAATGTAAATATAAGCATTGAATTCATATTTTTGGCTGTCTTCGGTCCTATAACACACCTTGCCGTGCCGACAAATTGAATACCGCACTAATTCACAAGCATATTTTTTCATGGCAAACTGTACAACATGAATGGAAAACTCTCAAAAAATTGTAAATCATTAAAAATTCGAAATTAAATATATTAACAATGTTTTTAAAAAAAGTTGTGAAAATATTGCTTTTTTCTAGGAAGTATAAGAGGTGACTGTTTGGCCTTCACTAAAACAAAGACAGAAGAATATCATGAAGTATTGGATTGTGAAACAAGTCTCCCTCCTCTTTGTAAGTAGTGCATGCTTTATGAAATTTCCAAAAAAAACAAGACAGATAAATTGATGATACGTCGATATCAACAGTATCGTTTAAAATAAAACTTTCGAAAATTCTATTGTGGATACAATGAAATTGTTTCAAATACAATCTATTATTCAGTCGGAAGTTCACTGTTCTTTTTTTATACAAATAGTTAAGCCATTATTTACACACTGGCCTCTCTGGTATCTTTAATCTCAGTGATGAATATAGTGGCATTGCTTCAAACTAATCTTCCTCCACTTTGAAAGCAATTACTAATATCCACAATCGTAATACTGTAAACCAACTTTTATTCGCGTGCGAGAAATTTTCGCGAATTTCACGACAGCATTGTCATCGCGAATATTTCTCGTCGCGAACCAGTCCTTAAAGTGTATGTGTCTATTAACTACAGATCCAAAAAGGCTTCATCGCGAAAATAAATCGTCGCGAACCAGTTTATCCCTTTTAAATCGCGAAATAAAGTCGTCGCGAATAAAAGTTGGTTTACAGTATATTAATTAAAGAGAAGAAGTATCAACCTCTACGAAGTAGGGGGGAGCTTATGTGAATACCTTGGTGTCCGTGTCCCAATTTAAAGTTTTTGGGGCAGTTTTCTCTTTAAGTACTTATATGTTCTACCTAGATCAGATATGCCTGCAAAATTCTTCTAGTGTGTTTCATTATACCTTGCAAGGTTACAGATGCTGCAATTTCAGCTAAGGAATGTCCAGATTTATGTTTCAGAGTCTAGGTTAACATATTTGGTGCAGTTTATAGCGTAGGTCTTATTTCAAAGAAATTAAGAGCCCTGAGGTGATCAAACGTAAATGGGTGATACATCTAAGGATGTATACTTCCAGCTGTGCTTCAGATGCTGGATCTGACCTTCAATTTCTGGATAAGTAAACAGGTTCAAGATTTTGTGTTGGTCTCTTTTATAGTAACTATTAGCACTATAACTAACAATAAGAACTTTAACCAAGATGCTTCTGACCTACATTTCCGAATGAGGGAACAGTATAAGCTTTTGATGCTGTGTCATTTAAAAGTAAATATATACTCTATCATGACCATATTTCCGTGGTTGATACATCTAAGGATGCACACTATCAGGCTATCAGGCATGCTTAAGATGCAGGACCCTACCTATATGTCCAGTATGAATTATAAAATTAAAGTTTTTGAGAAGCAGATCCATTCTAAAGTATATTCAAAGCCCTTTTTTGCATGGATAAGACACCTAAGGATGCACATTTTCAGGATTACATCTAAATTTCCAAGATAATTCGGCATGTACACTTGTAAACTTCTAGATTGTAAGTTTAATGTGGGACTTTGCCTTACATATCGTTGAGGCGAGCTCTGTAATATTTAAATAACTATTGGGAGATATGGATACGGGTTGGTAACGGGATCAAATACTCTAAAGCCCGAAGTTCGGGATTTATTGTAAAGAAACATCAATATCTGCCTTTAGTTTTAGACAAAATTTAAGTTTAAAATCAAAAAGCCTATCATATGTTATTTTGTAGAGCACAATGTCATGGTATGCTACATATAATTTTTTGGCACACAGGCCACCGTCTTTAGCACATGCGCAGAGACAAATATGCCAATGAAGTTAAAAACTGCCTAAAACGCCGATTTTACGGCAGTTATTTCGAAATTAGTATGTGGCCACACTCAAGTACCATTTCCAAAATGTGCATGCATGAAAATATTACATATATGCACCTTCATGAAAAATATTTTAGAGGTACTCGCGTGTGGTCAATATGAATTTTACATTTTATGAATGTTAAGCTTTCGTAAATATTTTATGAATGTTAAGCTTTCTTAATTATGAAGCAAGATCCCCCATTTCAATAGTAATTATAAGTTCATCATATGCGTAAATACCCTAAATTAGTTATAAGTACATCAGATTTATTCTTCATAATTACCTGGTAACTATATAGTCCCCAATTTGTCAATAATTTTGTGATAGAATATCTTAAGGTAGGTCGCGGGTTTACTGCATAAAAATTCTTACGAGAAAACACATCCTGAAAATTTGATATAATGTTCCTTAGAATTCAAAGCGTATTATCTGCAATTTTTATTAAATTTGCCTACGTAGTTCTAATGCTATATTACTATAAACGCGGTATTGTTGTTAGTATCTTTTTTACGCTTTACTATTGAAACGTATGGAAAAATGACGTTTTAAAGCCAACTTCGTGAAAATAGTTTTTTTTTTAAAAGGTTGGATTACTTTTTAAAGACGTAGACGAATTAGTCAGGAATTTCAAAATGTCAAGATGAGGTAAAATCAAAACTATTAATATAAAAAAATCAATATGTCTTCTCGCTAGATTTTTTGCTAAATATTTTTCAAAGTTTTCTTTTATACTGCTAAAATGTTGCGTTTATGGCGTTATTTTTGTCTACAACGTCATTTGTTGAACATAGTCACGTTTACAGTACGAGTATAAATATTTTGACCTTTGGAATATGCAAGATTTAAAAAGTGACATAGATACAAAATTTAATTTTATTCATCATTTAATTTATTGCGAAGACATATATAAGGATGACCAGCAACTTATTTTGACTAGAATTGTGAAATCCATATTCTGATTACAAAGTCAGAATGAACGGTATAAACTTTCCTCGTGCATGAGAATTAACATAAACAGCGACAACAACGCGAGTGATAAAATATTAGTACCTCTATTTTTAGGAAATTCATGGTCAATAGGATTTCAGGCATAACACAAAAATTTGTTCACTTTATTCGAAAACGGTAAAAAAAAAAAAAACTCCCCGATACTGAGGAAATAAGCGTCTGTGTGGTTGATGGAGGGGGGGGGGGGGGGGTACCAGCAATGTTCTTTCTATATTAGTCGCAAGCTACAGTATGTGGCCCTAAATCTCATTTTTAAATTTCGGATTCTCTGAATCAAAATTTCCATACGCAAAATGTAAAACGCTTGCATTTAGCTTTTACACTTAGAGCTTTTGTTATAAAAATAAAGAAAAAATAATACTTGTAAATTGTTTACAGTGTCTTATAGGTCTTGCAGTTCAGGTGTTTGTATAATATTGATTTTTAAATGAATTTTACAATTTATTAGCCAGCAAAACAAGGCTCGTACACGAGATTTAAGTACGTAACAACGAAACAATGATAATAAATGATGATAATAATAATAAAACCAGAAGTCTCTGTCGAGACTGTAGCTCTACTGGTTTGTACTTATAACAAAGGATGAGAAAAGAAGCCATTGCCATCAGACCAAAACTGTGAATGACTAGCGTTTTAAAGAAATTTCAAAGAAAATTCTATTTTTAGTAACCATGGTAATACCGTTCACCGAAATCAAAAACCGATGCACTGTTTTATGTATCTTAGTGTAGTCTACTTGTGTGCCAAGTAATATTGAAATCAAATCAAAACTGTAGGAGGAGTAGCGTTTTAAAGGAATTTCAAAGAAAATTCTATTTATAGTAACCATGGCAATACCGTTCATCGAAATCAAAAACCGATGCACTATTTTATGTATCTTAGTGTAGTCTACTTGTGTGCCAAGTAATACTGAAATCAGACCAAAACTGTAGAAGGAGTAGCATTTTAAAGGAATTTCATAGAAAATTCTATTTTTAGTAATCATGGCAACACCGTTCATCGAAATCAAAAAGCGATGCATTATTTTATGTATCTTAGTGTAGTCTACTTGTGTGCCAAGTAATATTGAAATCAAATCAAAACTGTAGGAGGAGTAGCGTTTTAAAGGAATTTCACAGAAAATTCTATTTTTAGTAACCATGGCAACATCGTTCATCGAAATCAAAAACCGATGCACTATTTTATGTATCTTAATGTAGTCTACTTGTGTGCCAAGTAATATTGAAATCAGACCAAAACAGTAGGAGGAGTAGTGTTTTAAAGGAATTTCAAAGAAAATTCTATTTTTGATAACCATGGCAACATCGTTCATCGAAATCAAAAACCGATGCGCTATTTTATGTATCTTAATGTAGTCTACTTGTGTGTTATGTAATATTGAAATCAGACCAAAACTGTAGAAGGAGTAGCATTTTTAAGGAATTTCACAGAAAATTCTATTTTTAGTAACCACGGCAACACCGTTCATCGAAATCAAAAACCGATGCACTATTTTATGTATCTTAGTGTAGTCTACTTGTGTGCCAAGTAATATTGAAATCAAATCAAAACTGTAGGAGGAGTAGCGTTTTAAAGGAATTTCAAAGAATATTCTATTTTTAGTAACCTGGCAAAACACCGTTCATCGAAATCAAAATAGTCTACTTGTGTGCCAAGTTATATTGAAATCAGACCAAAACTGTAGGAGGAGTAGCGTTTTGAAAAATTGTTTACAGACAGACAGACAGACAGACAGACAGACGGACGGACGACGGACACCTTACTATCGCATAAGCTCTTCTGGTCTCTGACCAGTAGAGCTAAAAAAAACAGGAAAATACATATAATTAAAAATCCGTTTTTAGTGATGAGGATTGATTCTATCCTGAAAAGTATACGCAAATTTTGGCCCCGGCTTTGATTGGCAGTCACGATGCAATACGCATGTACCCCTGAGTTTCAAATAACCCCTCAAGTTTTCCGCCAAGCAATTTTTATTCATGATAACTTTCTTTCTGCATTCCATAACTTTTACTCTGATTTATTCTGATTGACATTTAGAAGTTTAGTTACACTTACAATATGAATTATTCCTTTCATTTGGTATTGTATTCAATTTGTCCTAATTCAGACATTACATATAATCACATCACAATTCAGACTAAACTTTAATTATAATAAAACATGTACGAGGTATTCGTACAATAGCATGCACTTTGTATTTATATACTTGATTCGTACAGACTTGAAGTCATTTGCAGAGAATTAAACGGGAAACAACGTAACGTTGCCTTTGTGACGTAAATGACGTCATAATCAAATGTGCACAAAACAACAG